TTTTTTTTTTTTTTTGGTTTTTCCAGACAGAGTTTCTCTGTGCAGCTTTGGAGCCTGTCCTGGCACTCGCTCTGGAGACCAGGCTGGCCTTGAACTCACAGAGATCCGCCTGCCTCTGCCTCCTGAGTGCTGGGATTAAAGGTGTGTGCCACCAACTCCTGGCTTAAAGCCATTTTTTTTAAATGGGAATTTTAAAGTTTTTAGCCATAAGCCAGACAAAAGTGACGTATCTCTTGCTGTGATGAGTAACTTTCAATTGTTTCAAATGACTCTAGAATCATCAACTGTTTTAAAAGCCATTTTTGTCCTAACTTTGCCAAATCATAATTCTTCAGGCAAGACTTGTTTCACAAATCCCACTAGATATCTGAATTCTAACAATATATAGTAAATAGCCTATGTGATTAAAAAGTTACTATATGATATTTGGATGCTAACTGAAATTTGACTATACTAATGCATACTGGTTTCTGTTTCTGACCTGCCTCCTTAGACAAATTAGAATATACAGAGTAAATAAGACAGTGAAAGAGCCCTGCAAATAAACACCTTTCACTTTGGCAAAGGAACTAAAGCATTAAAGTATATGTGATTGCATGATTATTCCATGCTGTTTCAGAGCTCGTTCATGTTACAGACAAGCCGAGCTCACGGTAGAGTTCTATATAGCACAAAGTTGCACAACACATGCAAATAATTCTTAAACAGAATGTGAAGATATACTTAGGGCACTCAATGATGGCTCCTCTATGTCTCAGACATCATACAGACCATTAAAGATGTGTACAGAACTTGTGATGAATTCTGAGTCCTTGACTGCTTCCAGTTATCCTAGAGCAGGCTACTCTGTAAGAGCAGCCTAGGAATCATTCACCAGGAACTTGGAGGCATTCTGTAATTTTCCCAGAGGTGTGTGATTTAGCACAATTAAGTTCCAGTTTATGATGGGAATGAAGATGACTGTCCTGATTATATTCCTAGCTTTGTGACTTGAATAAGAAGCAATGCTGAGTAGCTTTAGTCCAAGATACTAGACTAACTTAATTTGGAGAACACTAAATGTATGTACTCCACATCATAAAAGATAGCTAGCATCCAAAGGTATCTCAGACTCTGTCAGTAGTCAAGTATGCTGGCCTACTAAGATAAACAATTTTGGGTCCAACTAGAATATGGGGATTTAACTTTGCATTATCAATTCTAAGATCACAGACCATTCTGTGCAATAACAATGGGGTGCTGAACAGGTTTATGGATCCACCCTTGGTTCTCCATGTCTGGTATTCTCAATGCTGATGTCATCATAGCAGAGGTAAGCAAGGTCAAAGGACATACACCTATAGTAATGGTAAGGACTCCCTTTTAATCCTCTGGAAAATAAATTGACGAACACACTATTCTATAACCCTTACCTACTCATGGCCACAGATGTATCATCTTTTAGAAGACCTAATAACAAGTCTTTGAATTAGACATCCAGCACTACAGAGAAAGAGACTGAGGCAAAGAGCAATTAAGAGCAAGTGATGGAGCCATGTAATTTAACTATAATGCAGAACTTTAAACCACTTATTCTAGGGTTCACTGTGACCCTCCAAATTTATATGATGAAACCTTAATCCTCAGAATTTCAAACTATGACTGCGTTTGGAGATAAGGTCTTTTAATAAAGAGGTAATTAAGTAAATGAAATTATTAGAACATTTCTTAATCCTACATGACCAAAACCAATCCAGCAAACATATTATTCAATAGCCTCCGGGACTATGAGGAAATAAAACATTATTGTTCATGCCATCCAGTCTGTGGTATTTGTTATGGAACTAATACACACAATGTGCCTTTCATGGCAGTGAGTATCACTGGCAAGTGTTCAGAGGCAATTTCCTAATTATTTTATTTCCATGTCAGGATCTTAAAATCTTCAAGTTATTTACTTTTAATAGTAATATATTAACATTCAAAATTCTAAAAAATACTGTAGAAGATTATACTGTGAAAAAGCTCCTATCATATTGTCATATTACCAAGTTCCCTTTTAGGCAAAGTCAGTCTTATGTATTTCTTATGTCATCACCTAACAATATTCTGTGGGGAAAAACAGATGTGTACATATATATTCATATCCTTCTCTCAGCTGCTTATAACACACATTATATAGTGTCATATTTTGTTTTTGTAAGAGTTTCTTGGAAGTTGCCTTTAAATGGAGAGATTTCATAAAAAACAAAACAACAACAACAACAAAAACAACTGCTTATCTTGAGCTGTGCAATGGTGGCGCCTGCCTTTAATCCCAGCACTTGGGAGGCAGAGGCAGACAGATCTCAGTGAGCTGAGGCCAGCCTGGTCTACAGACTGAGTTCCAAGACAGCCAGAGTTCACAGAAAAACTCTGTCTCTGTCTTGAGAAACAACAACAACAACAACAAAGTAACTGCTTGCTTGAACTGTAGCTTGGGTTTTAGATAAAAATCTTTACTTACATTTTACACACAGCAGAAAATGGAAATGTATGGAATCCGGCACCCAATGAACTCCCTGGAGAATGTTGCCTTGGTAAGCTTAGATTGGTTAGTGGTATTTCAAATTCTCCTGAAATACATGAAAATTAAAGTTATATAATACTGCATAAAATAAAATTTAGAAATCTCATAAGTAACTATTTGGTTGATCAATTTGTTGCAATAAAATACTTGTATTAATTCTTTGAGAATTTAGTGCAGTGTGTTTTATCATATTCATCTCTCTTCCTCAACTCCTCCAAGATCCACACCTCCATCCAACTTTGTTTATTTTTTTTAACCACCGAATCCAATTTGTGCTGTTCATATGGTTTTTGATGTGGCAACAAAATCTGTTAGTAAGAAAAAATTTGGGGGGTAGGGTTAGGGAGATTGCTCAGATGGTAAAGCTTCAGAACCTTAGTTCAATCCCAGCACCCATGCATGTCAAAAGCTGGGCATGACGGCATGCGTTGGAAGTGCCAGCCCATCCTTTAGCAGTGAGCCCCAAGTACCCATGAGAGACCTATCTCAGAAAACAAAGTAGATGGCTCCTGAGGAATGATCCCAGAGGCTGACCTCGGGCTTCCATTCACATATAGATTCACACACACACACAACACAAGAAGTTTAGATTCCTAGAGATACAAAACAAGTCCTAAATTGATATCTATAAAAGAAATACAGACTTATCATTTGGTATCTCAATTATGACAGTGGTGACCTTAAAAAGATACAACAGTTGAACTTTATTGAGTTTTCTGTGTAAGAGAAATCCTAAGAGCTTTGCACATAGGAAGAGTTTTAATTCTGACAACTTACATTATCAGCACCTAGGAGATAGTTCTATTTTATTTCGACAGTAAATTTTGGTGATGTTAGGGAAATAGAGGTGTAATTCTCCACCTTAATGAGTTAGGACTCTAGGTGTCCTTGTCAGTTATAAATTAATAGAATGGGCCTGAAAAATAGATATGCCTTTATTGAAAATTAGTATAGTATAAAGCATTAAATACCAAGTAGATATTCATGCGCTCCAAGTGTAAATGGAACTAAGTAACAGTCTCATCAACATAATTCTAAAAGAACACAATTTGGCTTTATTCTGGAAAAAAAGTGATGCAGAGTTTCCAAATTTAATTTGAGAACAATAAATCAGTGATAGAGCAGAGAATGAATGATGTGACTGCTCTAAGGGATTAAAAAGTCCACCTTAGCCTTAGTAAAGGTGCTTGCCACCAAGGCTGAGGACCTGAGTTCAAGCCCAGGAGTCCACATGGTGGAAGGAGAGAACTGATTCCCACAAACTGCCTTCTGACTTTATACACGCACTATGGCATCACCCCTACCCCACTAAATAATACGTAATTTAAAGGTTTTTTAACTATAATAAAGATCAACAAGATTACTAATATTGAAATGAAATATAATTGGGGCTAAAGTGATGGCTCAGTAGTTAAGAGCACTTGCTAGCCTTCCATAGAACCCAGGTTTGAGTCTCAGCATCCACATTTAACCACCTGCAACTGCAGTTTCAGGGCACCTGGTGCCCTCTTTTGGCCTCTGATGGAGCCTGCATGCACGTGGTGCACATGCATACGCTCAGGCACACATACAGAAAATAAAATGCTAAAAGAATAAAGTTATATTTAGTCAGCTATAATTTAAGATTATGTATATGTGGGAGTACCTATGCATGCACACCAGTGTGGAGGTCAGAAGTCAATGATGGTGTCTTACTCAATCACTCTCTGTCATATGTTTTGGTATGGGTCCACCAATTCAGCTGGCCTGGCTGCTGGGGATCAGACTCTCAGGTGTGCGTGGCAAACACGTTACTGACTAAGCTATCTCCCAAGACCCAAGATTTGTATTTTAATTTTAGTAGTATTTCCTCCATTCATTTTCTTCAATATTTCTAACTCTGCTGTATACATGACCCACTTCTGTTGATGATGAGATCCGGACAAATAGAAAGGGATAGAAAAAGGGAAAAGATGACTAGGATCATAATGAGCAAGTTTTTGAACATGAAAAGTGATTCACAGTAGACTATAAATGCAAATTTAGTGTGCTTCTATGTCATATAGGGAACTCTTGGTAAGTCAATGACTTAAGCAAAATCGCTACCTGGTTCTTTGCACTCTGGTTCACTCGGGCTTTCAATAGGTAAGATCTCCGTGGAGCTGCATTTCATATCCTCAGCATCAAGTTCCTGCTTGGTAGAAAGATCTGAAAGGAAATAGAAGAAACTCTATCCACAAAAATGCCATTCAAATTTCATATTGCACAGGACCTGAAGTGCCAAAGAGACCTCACCTGCTTCATCAAACGGCCCCACTATACCAGGCTGCAGTGTCAAAGGGCCATTCTCTATTAACCTCCTGCCATTAACCAGTTTCCTCAGGCCCTGGACCAGCAAACAGCTACCCAACTGCTTAAGCCTGCTCACAACTACAGGCCAGAGACCAAACAATGAGAAGAAGAAGGGCTGCTGGCAAAAGGGACATCCCCACTAAGAGACCGCCTGTCCTTCAAGCAGGGTCAATGCAGTCACTGTCTCCGTCAAGAACAAGAAGGGTCAGCTGGTGGTGACTGTCCATGATGTAGATCCCATTGAGCTCATCTTCCCGCCTTTGCCCTGTGTTTCAAGGTGGGGGTCCCCTTCTGCATGAGCAAGGGGAGGGCTAGGCTAGGATTGCTGATCCCAGGAAGACATGCACCACTGTTACCTTCACACAAATGTGGAATACAAAGGCACTCTGACCAAGCTTGTGGACGTTATCAGGGCCAATTACAACAACAGATACAATGAGATCCAAAGCCACTGGGGAGATGATGTTCTGGGACAAAATCTGTGGATTGTATTGCCAAGCTGGAAAAGGCAAAGGTCAAAGAACTTGCCACTCAACTGGTTAAATGCACACTGCTAAGTTTTCTGTATATAAATATAATTAAAATATTGTCCTTCAAAGTCATATATTATATATATATATATATACACACATATATATATATGTGTGTGTGTGTGTGTGTGTGTGTGTGTGTGTGTATTTCCAATATATATTGGAAATGCTGAAATGGCTAGAGAAAACAAAGGGAAAAAGCACTTCAAGATCTAGGCATAGGAAAGAACTTTCTGAAAGGGCTCTAATAGCTTAGGAAACCACCTCAAGAACTGATAGACTGAATTATGTGAAATGAAGAAGCTTCTACATAATAACAGAGTTAAAGAGACAAGCTATAGAATGGAGAAAGTCTTCATCAGCCATACCTCAAATAGGAACTAATATCTAGACTGTATAAGGAATAGCAAAAAGTGAACAACAACAAAAAACCCTCACAAACCTTCCAGACAATAAATGGGCCAATTAATTGGACAGTTTTCAAAAGAAGAAATACAAATGGCCAATAAATACTTGGAAAAGTATTATATGACCTCGGCTATATCAGGGAAATGCAAATTAAAATTCCTTTGAGATTCTATTTTTATCCCAGTTAGAGTGGTTATTATCAGGAAAACAAATAACACATGCTGCTGAGGATGTGGGGAGAGAACTTTTACCCACTGCTGGTGGGAATGCAAACTTTGGTATTCACTAAGCAACTCAGCATGAAGATTTCTCAATAAGCTAAAAATAGAATTACAACAGAACACAGCTAGACAATTCCTGGGTATATGCTAAAAGGACTCTAAGTCCTACTACAGGGATACTGAGACCTAGATTTACTGCTGAACTATTCATAATAGCTATGGAATGGTAACAGCACAGATGTCCATTAACAGATCAATAGATAATGTAGAACACATATGCATGGAATTTTAATCAACCAAAAAGAAATAAAGAAATCCCTACACTTACAGAAATATGGGGGAATCGGAAATTATTATAGAAGAAAACATTCTGAGCAAGGTAACCCAGTCACAAAAAGACAGACATGGTATGTATTCATTCAAATATGGATTTTAGACATAGAGCAAAGGATTACCAGCCTACAATCCACATCACCAGAGAAGCTAGGAAACAAGGAGGACCCTAAGAGAGGCATACATGGTCCCCCAGAGAAGGGGAAAGGGACAAGATCTCCTGAGCTAATTGGGAGCATGTGGAGAGAGAAGAGGGAGCTAGGAGAATGAGAAGGGGAGAAGAGGAGGGGTGAGGAAGACATGAGGGAGCAGGAAGGTTGAGTCAGGGAAGAATAGAGGAGAGCAAGATAAGAGATACCATAATAGAGGGAGTCATTAAAGGTTTAAAAGAAATCAGGCACTAGGGAAATGTCCAGAGATCTACAAGGATGACACCAACTAACAATCTAAGCAACAGTGGAGAGGCTACCTTAAATGCCCTCCCCTGATAATGAGATTGATAACTAATTCATATGCCATTCTAGAGCTTTTATCCAGCAGCTGATGGAAGTAGAAGCGGACACCCACAGCTAAACACTGAGCTGAACTCTGGAATCCAGTTGCAGAGAAGAAGGAGTGATGAGCAAAGGGGTCAAGACCAGGCTGGTGAAACCCACAGAAACA